TTTTTTTTTTTTTTTTTTTAAGTCGGATCTAGGTAGACTATAGACATTGGACCTCGAAGTCTGCCTGGCGTTGGACATGAAAGTATGAGTTCTTTGCAAAGAGCGATTGAGACTATGGAAGAGAAAGGACTTCAAGAAGATCCACGGTATTCACAATTACTTGCTTTAAGGGCTCGGCAAAGCAACATGGGAGAGAAACAAGCTTTTAATGCACAGCAATTACATCAATTGCGGTATGTTATATAAAATATATATTATATAATATTATTAATAATATAATATAATAATATATACAATATAATATATTAATTGTATTAATCATAATCTAAATATATAATATATTAATTATATTAACCATAATCTAAATTTTTTACAGGGTACAAGTAATGGCATATCGATTATTGGCAAGAAATCAACCATTATCGCAACAACTTATGCTTGCTGTTCAAGGCAAGTTAAATTAAATAAAACATGCTATTAATTTGGTATTTTAAATGATTACTTTTTGTATTGTTCTACGCATAGAACCAACCAACTTTTACGTATATAACCTTAATTGCGATTCAATTCAATCAATTAATGTACTTACTTAATGCTTTAATTTAACGATTTCATTATCTCTTTTCCATCAAGAGTACTTATATCGTGAAAATGTAAAAGTAGGATAACCTATAACAAGAATTCAGTAAACAGCTGGAACATCTCCTCCAGGTATAGTGCAACATGCCTCTATGGATTCATCTCAAGGATCTGCTGCTGCAGCCTTAAATTCAATTGGTTCTGCAATTTCTTCAAAAACAAGTTGTCAAACATGTCCTCAAACAAGTACCAAAAGTAACAAAGTGACAAGCGTAGAAAAACCAGTTGGTTTAGATCCGCTACTCATTTTACAAGAACGTGAAAACAGAGTTACAACGCGCATAGCATTACGAATGGAACAGTTGAACAACTTGCCAACTAATATGCCGGAAGATCTTCGTATTCAGGTTCAAATTGAACTACGAATGCTCAGGGTATTAAATTTTCAAAGGCAACTACGATCAGAAATCCTGGCCTGTACTAGAAAGGATACTACTTTAGAAAGTGCAATAGATATAAAAGGCTACAGGCGTACGAAAAGACAGGGACTTCGAGAAGCCAGAGCTACCGAGAAGCTTGAAAAACAACAAAGATTAGAAATTGAACGTAATCGCAAACAGAAACATCAAGTAATTAAATTTCTAACTCTTTACTTGGGATATTATTAGACGAAAAAATATATAAAATAATGCGTAATTTTTATCAATATTCTTTTTAATAGGAATTTATCAATTCTGTACTTCAACATGGTAAAGATTTCAAAGAATATTATCGTAATAATGTGGCAAAGTTAACCAGACTCAACAAAGCTGTGCTTGCTTACCATGCAAATGCTGAAAGAGAACAGAAAAAAGAGCAAGAGCGTATCGAGAAGGAACGTATGAGACGTCTTATGGCGGAAGATGAGGAAGGTTACAGAAAATTGATTGACCAAAAGAAAGATAAACGATTAGCATTTCTGTTGTCACAAACAGATGAATATATCAGTAATCTAACTGAGATGGTAAAACAACATAAAATAGAACAAAAAAGAAAGCAAGTGGAAGAACATAAGCTTAAGAAGGTGCATATTTTTTCGTTTGTAATTGTCACTATTATAATTGTTATTAATGTACAGTACAGTATAATAAATATTGTATTGTTATCAAAATAGAAAATGAAAAAGCAGCGAGATAACGAAGGAGATGAAAATGAAGATACTCATGTTGGAGTGATTGAAATAGCTACTGGATACACATTAACCGGTGAAGAAGCTCCACTAATGAGTCAACTTTCAGAATTTTTAGAATCCCATCCAGGATGGGAGCTGATTGAATCAGAAAGTGAAGAAGAAGATAAAGAAGAAGGCAAAAATGAAGCTGATGGTTCGGATGAAGAAAAAGTTAAGGAAACAATACAGAAAGCCAAAGTAGAGGATGATGAATACAAAACCGAAGAACATACATATTATAATATTGCACACACTGTTCATGAAGTAATAACGGAACAAGCATCTATCATGGTCAATGGAAAATTGAAAGAATATCAAATAAAGGTTTGATATTGACATGTCTTACATTCAAAATTGTTTTTGCAACGCATATTTTAAAATTTCTACTAATTTTAGGGCTTAGAATGGCTAGTTTCATTATTTAACAATAATCTGAATGGTATACTTGCGGATGAAATGGGTCTTGGTAAAACTATACAAACAATAGCTTTAGTGACTTATCTTATGGAGAAGAAAAAAGTTAACGGGCCATTTCTTATAATCGTTCCTTTATCGTACGTATTTTATTAAATATCCTAAAATATACAAAAGCTTATTTTAATATATTTTTTTATAGAACGTTGTCAAATTGGATGTTAGAATTTGAGAAGTGGGCTCCCAGTGTTGTAGTTGTATCATATAAAGGTTCACCAAGTAACAGAAAAATCATTCAGTCTCAAATGAGAGCTGCTAAATTCAATGTTTTACTTACTACATACGAGTATATTATTAAAGACAAGGCAATCTTAGCAAGATTACAATGGAAATACATGATTATAGATGAGGGACATAGAATGAAAAACCATCATTGTAAGCTAACTCAAGTGCTAAATACCCATTATTTAGCTTCTCATCGACTTTTACTGACAGGAACTCCATTACAAAATAAATTGCCTGAATTGTGGGCATTATTAAATTTCTTGCTTCCTTCAATCTTCAAATCTTGCAATACTTTTGAGCAGTGGTTCAATGCTCCGTTCGCGACTACTGGCGAAAAAGTTGAACTAAATGAAGAAGAAACTATTCTCATTATTCGTCGATTGCACAAGGTATTACGTCCTTTCTTATTAAGACGTTTAAAGAAAGAAGTCGAATCACAGTTACCTGACAAAGTAGAGTATATTATCAAGTGTGAAATGTCTGGATTGCAAAAAGTTCTCTATAAACACATGCAAAGCAAAGGTGTGTTGTTAACTGATGGTTCAGAAAAAGGGAAACAAGGTAAAGGAGGTGCAAAAGCTCTGATGAATACTATTGTACAGTTGAGGAAATTGTGTAATCACCCATTCATGTTCCAAGCTATTGAAGAAAAATATTGCGAGCATGTAGGTACGCAGGGATCTAATGTTATTACTGGTCCTGATTTGTATCGTGCATCTGGGAAATTCGAGTTGTTAGATCGCATTCTTCCAAAATTAAAAGTGACAAATCACAGAGTATTGTTATTTTGTCAAATGACACAGTTAATGACAATTATGGAAGATTATTTAAATTGGAAAGGATTTAAATATTTACGATTAGACGGCGCTACGAAAGCTGAGGATAGAGGAAATTTGTTAAAGAAATTCAACGATCCTGGTTCTGATTACTTTTTGTTTCTGTTATCGACGCGTGCTGGTGGCCTTGGGTTAAATTTACAAGCTGCAGACACCGTTATTATTTTTGATTCCGATTGGAATCCACATCAGGACTTGCAAGCACAAGACAGAGCACACAGAATTGGTCAAAAAAATGAAGTACGTGTACTCAGGTTGATGACAGTTAATTCAGTCGAGGAAAGAATATTAGCTGCAGCTAAGTATAAGTTAAATATGGATGAAAAAGTTATACAAGCAGGAATGTTTGATCAGAAGTCCACTGGTTCTGAACGGCAACGATTTTTACAAAGCATTCTGCATCAAGATGATGCTGAAGATGAAGAAGAGAATGAAGTGCCGGATGATGAAACGGTTAACCAGATGATCGCACGGACTGAGGGTGAATTTGAAATATTCCAAAAATTAGATTTAGAACGAAAACAAGAAGAAACGAAGCTAGGTTTAAACAGAAAATCGCGTTTATTAGAGGAAACTGAGTTGCCCGATTGGTTGGTAAAAAACGATAACGAAATTGAGAATTGGACGTATGAAGAAGATGAAGATAGATTTCTTGCGCGGAGTTCGAGACGAAAAGAAGTCGATTATACTGATAGTTTAACTGAGAAAGAGTGGCTCAAATCAATTAACGAGGATTCTATTGATTATGAAGATGATGGTGACAATGATGATGATGATGATGATGATGATGATGATGATGATGAGAAAAAGAAAAAGAAAACACGGAAACGAAAGAAAAAGAACAAAGAAAGTAACAACCCTCTACCAAAAAAACAAAAAAGGAGATCAATTGATCAAAACATGAAACGAGCTTTAAAAAAATTGCTCATGGCAGTTGTTAATTATGCTGATAGCACAGGCAGGGTTCTTAGCGAACCGTTTATGAAATTACCATCCAGAAGAGAACTACCAGATTATTATGAAATTATTAAAAAGCCGTTAACTATCAATAAATTGCTTCAAAATATCGAAAATGGGAAGGTAATTATTCTTTAAAATAACTAAAAAATCATTCTTTAAATTACTCTTTATTCTGTAATTATAGTGATTATTTATTTTTTTAATTAACAAAGTTTATTCTGTATTTATTGTCATAGTATGCCGATTTTGACGAGCTCGAGAAAGACTTCATGCAACTCTGCAAAAATGCACAAATTTATAATGAAGAAGTTTCTCTTATATATGAAGACTCCATTGCTCTGCAATCTGTTTTTGTGAATGCACGTCAACATATCGAAAATGAAGATAATAATTCTGACATAGATGATAAAGGTACTTCTTATTATTTTTAATTTAATAAGACAAAATGAAACAGTATGAGTAAAATGATTCTATATGCATGAAATTTTTATAAGATGATGATAAAGAAGGATTAGGTGGAAATTCTAATATTAGAATAAAAATTAAATTGACAGGGAAGAACGAAGCTAAAGGAAGCCGAAGAAAAAAAAAATATGTATCAGATGAGGATGACGTCGATAATAATTAAAGATTATAATGTACAGTAAAATTTAGCTCTAATTAATACCAATATGTACCTTGAAATGAACTATAGATATATATTATTTTATTTTTTTATTGAAATATAAATTACTATCTTTCAAATACTTATATATACAAAAATTGAATTGGATATCGATAGATCATAGTTCGCTAGTCATTGTTCTATCAATGAGAGAATAAGAGAATTACTAAGAGAGAATAAGAAAGTTGTGGCAGAACAATTTATTTTGCATTGTAAATAAATAAATTAAGTAAATAAATAAATATTGGATAATTCAAAGATGATGAAATTTACTTTTTACGAGGAATTAATAAATAATATCTCAAGACTATATATTAAAAAAAATTTATTGTTATGTACATTATTTAATTCTGCCAAAGTCGCAAAATTTTATCCTTTCCACCAGAAGCAACACGTAACCCGTCCGGAGACCAATCCACTGCATAAATTTCATCTGCATGACCTGGTAAGTCCTGACAAAGTTTTTTCGTTTTTAAACTCCATACTAAAATAAAAATATAAAATGATTTTATTAAAACATTGAAATTCAAATTAATAGAATTAATTTGCTTACGTTTTAAAGTAGAATCTGCGCTACTACTGACAAGTAAACGGGAATCTGCACTCCATGAGATTGAGTACACAGCTTGCACATGACCTCGTAATGAAGTTACATACTTTCCTGTACTTGACTCCCATAATTTTATAGACTTGTCAAACGAAGCAGATGCAATTACGCGACCATCTGGTGAGAATTTCACATCATTAATTAATTGTTGATGTCCTGTCATTCTTGCTGAAATGAAAAATAAGTATTATTATAATGAAAAATTAGTATTGTCATTTCATAATGCTCATTGTATATAGCAATGAATAATACCAATAAATTTCTTTTCTTTTTCTGGTCTCCAGAGAAACAATGTAAAATCATCAGAACCAGACACTAGTATTTCTTCACCTACAGATTCATAACGCTTTTTTGCATATTCTACACGATTTTCAATTGTTTCCTGATCTTTTCCAAGGTTAAAAGGACCAGTTCTAAGTACATAATCTACATTCAGCGCCAAAGTGTTCACCCAATGTGCATGACCTTCTAAAGTCCTGCACAAAATCCCCTAAATGTGTTAGCCAATGTTAATGAAACATTTTAATTTTATAATGTGATTTCAATATATTTTTATAAAATTTACATCGTCGGCTCTCCACACTTTGATAGTCCTATCTTGTGAAGCAGAATAAATAAGACCACGTCCACCCCATTTAACGCATGTCACACTTCTTGTATGGCCAGAGAGAGTACGAACAGTTTGTGACCGTAATGTATCCCATATCCTTAAGTCATTGTCTTTTGAAGCACTAACTAAATACTGACATTCAGGGTTCTTATGATATGGTTCCCAACATAAGGAAGTAACCCACATTTTGTGCCCTAGCATTGCTTTTCCTAAAAATTTGTAAATAAAATATCAATTTTTCATATTATTGATTTACAAATAAATTTCTAGCATCACTCACCTGTTTGTTTTCCTGTTTTTGGATTCCATAATAAAATTGTTCCATTTTTACATGCAGATGCAAGTTTAGTTCCACATGGGGACCATGATATACATAATACCCAATGTTTATGACCTTCACATGTATATTGTGGAGTTTGTGTATATATATCCCAAAATCTAACTGTTGTATCTCCAGAACCACTAGCTAAACATGTCCCAGCTGGTGAGAAGGCAACTGATATTACAGCCTCTTTGTGACCTAAATACAATAAATGCTTTCATTTCATACAATATAAAGTTATATAAAGTTCTGTTTTTTTATAGGATAAGATATAAACCTTCCAATGATCCAGTACATCGAGTAACTGCTCTAACTTTAAAAATTGCTTGTGGTTGATATATAATTTCAACTACATCTTCGCTAATACTGAAATTTTCTTTAATATTTTTTTCCAAACTATTTGTGATCTCAGTATTATTCACATAAAAGGCAAAAGGTATTGGTTCCTCATTCTGTAGAAGTGCGTTACAAATTTCTTGTAACTTGTCGACAGTAATATTTATAGGCAAATCTAACAAACCTCCTGGTAATATATCACCCTTATCTGATTTCAAACGTGATAAAATCCGTTTAACACTTTTTGAAGAATTTTCAATGTTTTGCTTGCTATCATTTTCTTCCTCGAGTTTTCGTTTACTCATGTTTAATCAAATAATTGCAAAATACTTTCCAAGCGATCTGAAAAATTTTATACAATATATATTTTATTATGACAATGCTTCTTAAAGATAATTTTTATTATGATAAATTAAATATTTTATATACAGTTGTCACATTTATTTAATTTTTTTAATTTTTATTATAGAAATCAAAAATATCTTAATTATATTACATACTACCAAAAAATATGTTTCAGAATAATGAGATAGAATGTCAAAAATTTACTTGAAAGTGGTCAATTATTTATATACAACAAAATTGTTCGTGCACGTGATTGTATCTAAACTATCAATGTTTATAACCTATGCTCTTTATAACCTATAGATTAATCAATCAAATTTTAAATAAATTAAAAAAAGAAATTTTAATTTTATATTTTAATAAATTCAATTTTTTAACTTTTTTTATAAGTTATTTAAATCAATAAATTTTTTTTTCAAATGCATATATTTTTTCAAAATATAATAGCGCTTTATTAACTACGCGACAAAATTATTAAAGTAAAATAATCTACATCTAAAAATTTATCACAAAACAGTCGACTAGCAAGGCAAGATCCCGGTTAATTAACAAGATATTAATGTAACTATTTCTATATTTATGTGACTTTGTACGTATTATATAATTTTTCGATATTAAGAAGCATTTCCTTTTGCAAAAAGGCATAATTTTTATAATAAGAATGACAATCAAATCAATGATCTACAATAGCTTGAAAATATATTCCTAAGGAATTACTCTTAATAACATTAAAGCCGCTTTTTCAATTACCATCTATAAATGGGGTTTCTTCGTGGAATTACGAAAAAAAAGAAAAAAGAAATAGGTAAAATTATGCTTCTTACTTAACTACTATTCATGGGTATAAAAACACGTTGACAACATGACAACTAAGATGATAAGATGGCGAACTAGTTTGTATTGATGGTTACTTAAAGATTATTTTTAAACTGAGTGTAGGAAAGTTCTTTTTAATTTAATTTAATAAGCTGACAATTCGTTCATGTCCCTTTGATTTTCTCATCAACGTGCCATGAACCCATTTGATCCAAAAATCGAATCTAGCCGAAAGATCTTTGACAAAGATCGCAATTGTACAGCTATTGACACGACTACCGGAGAATTGTGCGGCGAAACTGAAACCTTGAAGATTATCGACGAGTTTCAGAAATTATATGAAGCTCGCATTGAAAATGTCGACCGAGAGTTCGAAAGTGAATTTGATCAAGTTTCTGTAAGTCATTCTGTCATGTAAAAAGTGATGTTAATTTTATTTGTATTTTGATAGAAAATTTGCAAAATTTGATGTACAATTATTAATACGTAGAACTTCAGTTTTTGTTTTTATTTATATTACAATTTGCAGATGAAGCTAGAAATATCAAGGGAATGGATCAAAAATTTAAAAGAACAAAATGTTATGCTGGTGCAAGTAGTAGAGGATTTAGAGCAAGCTGCTTGCAATAGAGTTAAATTATTGGAGGAAAGATTAAAACAGTCATCAGTACTAGTCTCTGGAAATATATCAAAATCAATGAATACAGAAAAGGTATGATCTTCAAAGTTTTTTCTTTGGAATTAATACAATAAGAGAATATATGTTTATATGGAATAAATTATCATTAGACTATACATATACTTTCAAATCGTGTAAGTGACTTGGAAAAAGATGAAAAACATATGCAACGAAAAATAGAATTTCTCCAAAGTGATATCAGAGGATTATTAGAATTAATACGGCGTGCAGTAGAAGAAAATCATTGGAATTTGGACGATATAAAATTCTTTGAGATTCAACCTAGCGATATACCTGTGCCCACTACTAAGTAAGTTTTCTCAATTAGCTATCTTAAACACAAATCAGATAATATAATTTCTTTTATAATTTTACAGCTGTACCTGTGATCAGGTAAATATAAATCTAGATGCTGATAAGAGATTCAAACTTAGAATACAAATTAGTCATGATCTCATGAATCCATTAGATGAGAGTATTTGTATGATACAGTCTTCCCATTCAACAACTAATTAAACTTTTACTTTTTGTTAAATATATATATATATATATATACACGTACAGATAGATAGATAGATAGATATATAACTGGTACATGTTGCTCATTTTAAATTTTAATTTCCTACACTCTTTTTAATAAATTTTTTGTCAAATATACTATATAATTTTTATGCAAAATAAATGGTGGGTATCTAACATATTATGTATAAACTGTTGTTTTTCTTATATTTACATTTTTTACAATATGTATGAATAATGAAAGTTCGAAATTAACATTGTAATTTTTAAATTAGGAAGATATAAGTCAGAGAAAGGTGCAGTCCTTAAAATCGCAAATCAAATATCTTCAAGAAAATGAGAAAAAAATGATTATGTAAGTGAAAATGAAGAATAAATTTAAATAACAAATATTCTTTAATATGTTATACATATTGTTAATAATGACATATTGCTTTTTAGACATCAAAAAGAATTAGAAGATAAATTAATTGATCTTAATGCAAAATTACAAACCAAAGAAGATACTGTTAAAGCATGTGTTTCTCAGTTCCAAATTCTTAGTGATAATCTTAGAAAACGCGTAAAGTTTACTGATCAAGTTGCATGCAGTTCATTTATAACAAACGATCAAGAAACTATTGATGTAAGTTAAAATTTTAGTAATTTAAAATAAGTCAACATTTATTTTTTTGAATAAAAATTGTAAGTATACAAATTTTAAGTATATATTTTTGTACAATTATATTTCCGATAAAATAAAGTAATTGAAAATTGCAAATGTTAACAGATAACAAGGCAATCATCTTGAAGTATAAAATATTTTCATTTAAACGTACGAAATTCTCTAAATTATAGTGGTAAATTATCTTTAAAATTTTGTTGCTATTCAGATTATGTTAGTGGCTGATGTTGTGGAAAATTTATTCATTGAAAAAGATCTAGAAACAAAAACTTTGCAGGAACGGTTGCGTGACGCGGAATCTAATTTAGCAATAGTAGCTCGCAATAGCGATATAAATTTGAATAATTTAAAAATTCAATTGAGTAAAAAATACAAGAGAATTCAAGAAATAGAGCAGCAGATGATAAATCATCAAAAAGTTTGTGCTATTTGCTCGAATGTACATTTTATTTTTCAATAGTGATTTATTTATAATTCTATTTGTATTAACTGTTAGGAATCAATAGAGAAGCAAAATTTCCTAACAGCAGAAATGACGGAAAAGAATGAAATAGTAACGTCCTTGCAGAAACAAGTAACTACGTTGCAAGAGCAATGTCATTCTGCAAATATGCAAATTCATTTCAAAGAAAGCATTATTAAAGAAATGCGAAGAGAATTAAAACAAGCAATAGCTAAGGTATAAATAGCAATTCGTGGATTTATGCATAAATAATAGCAATGTTCTTTATTTTCAGTTTCTATATTCTAACGTTTTTCCTTATACTTACAATCATTATGATAAAATTACTATTGACAATCAAGACATGGAACTTTTTTGTAAATTATGTGAGAAAATTATGATACCAAAAGTGATGTATACATCTGCAAAGTATAATAATAATTCATTTTTGCAAACATACATTGAAAATATATTAAATCATAATAAACTAACAAAAGATGTATCTAGAATAAAAAGGAAGCACAGTAATTTAACAACTAAAACAATAAATTGTCATAAAAATACTGAGTTTAATAAAGTTGACATTTATAAAAATTTTCATGATATTGACAAAAAAATTTTGAAATATACTAAAAGATTACTACCTGTTAATACATACAAACAATTTTCGAACAAAAAAGATACTCCCATTTTCGAAAAATCTGAAAATTAATATATTAATGTATAATAATTGAAATATTAAATCATGTGTTATATATAAAATATATGTAAATTTGGATTTCTTAATGTTACATTTCAATATGATTGCCTTTTAGTTTTATGTGAAAGTAATGTATATGATCTATCTTTTATTACTTATATCAAAATACTCAATATTTCACTTGCACTTAACATATTTTTTGTTTCTATTTTTCTTCATACTCTTTTTATAGGATGTTAAGAAATCAAGGAATCCTACAAATCAACAGGTAAAAAGAATCATATATATAATATTGCTGAAAGTTTAATATTTGAAGATTTATATTTTAGTATTGTTGATATCATTTTGAATAGATTTTAATTTTCAGAATCAAATCTTATCATATTTGAATAAAGTAAAATCATTGATGGAACAGGAAAAAGAACATCTTTCTAAGCTAAAAATAGAATTGGAGAAAACTGTAGAAAATTTGTGCTGTGAGGAAGATAAAGTTGGTAACACATACATATACATTTTTACATCAACAAAATATTGAATAGAATAATGTATAATCTTCTGAATAAGTAATATAAAAAAGAGTCTGGATAAAAATCTTACGAATAAACATTTTTCAGTTGTTTCTAATATCGCGAAGAAAAATAATTGAATTTAATAAGACATTCCAGTATTTATAAAAAGCAGAAATCTTAATCAATTTTGGTAAAATTCGTATATATTTTTTCAATTGTAATAAAATGTAGAGAAATAAAAATTTTGTATTATTGGTGCATATATATTTATGATTGAAAAATGTTTATTGATATTAACATTACTTTGGAACAATTATGGAACAATAATAAACAATATTTGCAAATTTATCACAAAAATAATTATTTATGAAACAATTGTTTTGAGTTATGTTCTTAAAAAATATTATTAAAAATTATTTAATATTTTATTAAATCAATAGAAGCACGAAACGAATGAATGTAATGTGGACAACATAAAACATAAATTAACTGAGAATATTGAATATGTGAATAAAATATATTTAAGAAAGCAGGAATCAATTGAAATGATAAATTCTTTAGTATGTATAATTTTTTAAACTATTTGTATAAAAACAATTTTATATATTTGAACGTTATTTATAATATTTTATTTCTCTAGTTTCAAATGGAAAACAATCATCTTTTTCATATAGAAAATTTTAATTCCTTAGTAAGTATTAAGTGATATTTATATTGTATCAATAAATGTTTTTTAAATAGTAATATGAATTATAAACTTAATAAAATAAAAATTAATGTATTTTAGCCAGACACAGACATCAATCAATGGAAATTAATAGATGTATTCAGAGCATGTACTGTTGAAGCACAACTTACTATGGAAGATATGAAAGAAGAAATAAATATAATTGTTTCTTCATTTAAATGTAGACATCAAAAGGTGAATTATATGTTAGTTAGATATTATTACCATGGTTTTATATTAATGACAAGATCTTTGACAGTATGTTGATTTGAATAAAGAAGTTATGAATGTCCAAAATCAGTTAATAAAAAGTCAAGGCATAATAGCAGAAGTAATTAATAAATTGCAATTACAAGTAAGAATTGTTAAATTAATTTTAAATTCAATGATAATTAATGTTATCATCTTCCAATGAAAAAAATTTCTCTCTATTGTAGGAAGAAGAAAGAATAAGACATAATGATAGAATTATGTCAGGAAAGAATAGATTAAAAGATATAAAAAATGAAATAAATCTTATGCAATTATCATCAATTCATGTAAATGAAATGCAAACAAATGTACGGAACAAATTTAATTTTCATATTTTTAAGTTTAATATTCAAATAAATGAAATTAAGTTTAATATTCAAATTTTAGGAAAATATATCCAATTATGGAGAAAATGTATCTAATTATGAACTATTATGTTCAGCAATTGAGGAAATAGAACAAACGTCGTCTAGCCTGCAAATATTTCAAGCTCAAGTAAAATTTTGAAATTTTTTAATATATAAAATGGTATTAAAATATTAATAACAGATAAATAATATTTGAATTATTAAAGGGATGTTGCGTAGTAAAAGATCTTGAAAAATTGAAGAACCAACTTTGTGAAGTAGATTCATTCACCAGAAAATTACAAGAGAATATAGATAAAGCAGTTGTGTATTTATTACTATAATTTAATTAATTATTTGTTAATTACAGATTTATTAAATTTATTATTTAATTCAAGCTTTATTATTTGTAGTTGACAGAACATGACATAGTAGAAACAACACTTTCTCAAAAAGAACAAAAATTACAAAAGTTGGAAGAAGAAGTTGATGTAATTCACTCGAAAGTACAGAACGTATTGGAAACATTTTTTTCTCCAAAAGAACTTGTATGTATCTGTATATTTCCAATTTATACTACAATTAAGATAATGTTTTATTCTAATTTTATTTCAATTCTGTTTCAATTTTGTAATAGGTATCTGATTGTAATGTTATGGAGACTCAATTATATACACAAGTAATTTCATCTTACTTAAATATTTGATTCTCAAACTTCTTTGTGATTATTTTGATATAAAAATGTCGTTATTTCAGATTTTAAACGAAATACTGCAAACTAAACAAGCTGTATATAAATTGAGAAAAGAACATGATGAATTAAAGTATAAATTATCGCAAGTAAAAAAATTTATAAATTGCTTTACATTATTATTTTATATTATATTATAAATAAATTTATTTATTTTGTTTTACAGTCACCACTTCATCCAGAGTGCGATAAGAAAACGTGCTTATGGAAATGTAAAGTAACTGACTTACAAGATCAAGTTAAAATACTGCAACATGAGGTATTTAATATCTAATTATCTTAATATAATATGATAGAGTGATAAATATAATATAATAATGTATTAATTGCTGTTTTAATAAATTATGCTAGATTTTCTGATATTTGACTTTCATAGGCAAAGTGCAATGAGGAAGCAAACAATTTTTTAAGAAATAACATTCAATCAATAGAAGAGGAACTGCATATAACACAAGCAAAAGCAGATAATTATAGACGATCTCATTCTGTAGAAAATATGACGTTAAAGAGAAAAATTATAGAATTAGAAAATACTGTAAATATATTATATTATATATTATAGTTAATTGTTTAATACATAATATTATTATAGTATTAAATGAAATTATAATATATAGCTTAATTATAAATTTTAGCTTAAATTACAAAAAGAAATTGAATGTGCTCTTCGACAACAATTGAATGATAGCGAAGTTGAATTAAAAAAATCTAAAGAATTATTAAATTCTTCTGTAAGTTAAATTTTTCCAAAAATTATTTTATTATATTTATATTTTTTTATTTACACTATTAACGAAGTATTTTTAATTCTTTTTTACATTCCACAAAAGCACAATGAAAATAATATGGAAGAAACTTTATTACGATATGGTTGTTATCAATTCAGACATGATGTAATGGTAAATGTTACTAATTATTCATAAGTATAATTAAGAATAATAATAATTTGTTAAATTAAGAATAATAAATTAATTTATATTTGTAGACTGCACCACAATTATTTAAAAAGCTGCAAAACGCCATAAGATCTACAAAAACTGGTCTTCAAGAACTTAAAACAGAATTCAAAAGATTGGTTTGTTCCATTATTTTATATGATATAATAAATACAAAAATATTTAATATTGTTTACAATATCTTTTTATAGATTTGTGAAGATTCATCTAATAGTTGTTCTTCTGCAAAATCATTAATGAATTTATTAGAAAAATTACAAATGTATGAAAATGAATTAGATAATTGTTTTCAAGAAATTGAAGAACTTAAAAATACATTATATTCTAAAGACAAACTAGTAAGTATTATTTATTCCTTTATTTGTAAATAAAATTATTGACTTTTTACTCATTGTTATTTTGAATGTGGCTATATTTACAGGTGGAAAATATGGATGAAATCATTAAAATACAAAAGGATTCTATTATAATGATGCAAGCTGAATTAAAAGAACTTCACCAAAAGGTATGTTAAATACAAATATATTTCAAAAAAGGAATCATTTTGTAATATTCAATAAGGGTAACTCATATATTAGAAGAATCAAATTTATAATTATTATATAATATTTCTATAATACTATTAATATAATAAGTTTTCTATTGCTGTAATAGTTTTTTATAATTTAAATAATTTTATATATCATTTACATTAAATTTATATTTAACATAACACTGATATATGCATTATTTGCATGAATTATTTTATTAGAAATGTGATAAACAAAACTACCAAGACTTATTATCAAAGGTATGTCAGTTATAAATATCAACATTTTCATACAATATGTAATGTATATATTTCTAGATTGATAGTCAAGATCAAATAATCTCTCAGTACGAAAAGGAAAAAAAAGAATTATTACGACAGGTTCGTATTAATCGTATTAATTCTATACTATCAATATACGTCATAGAAGAAATGTTTATTTATTGACTTCGCTTTAATTTATATAAAAACTGTTTTTTCAATTAATCGAAAGATATTTCGTTTTTAGAATGAACTTCAAGTTCAAACTATTGGTCATTTACAAAATGCTGTAGTAGAAGCAAAAAAATGTATAGATCAAATGGGACATAAAACAGTGAGTGATATAAGTGAACAGTGGTCTACAATTTCGCCTGCAGTATACAGTCAAAGAAATGTGCATGACGTTTAACATTAACTTGTAATAATGAAATATGTGCAATAACATGTAGTTTATTTGTAAGAAACGAACAGTCAGTATATTGCTTAGAAAATAAGCTGGCAATTTAAAATACGATTTTATAGTTTTAAACATATATAAAATAACTGAAATTAGTTTTTTGAACTATTAAAAAAGATTTTTTAACTATATTTCATATTTGAAATATAGAATATCTTCAAATTTAAAACAAATTTGAACCTCTAGATTTCTAATATTTGAATAGTATTTAAATTACAAAATTGAATTAAGCAATACACCACAAAATTGCATATGCTATATATATGTTTGTATATCATATATATTAATTTCTAAAATTTTATTTTTATAAATGTTGTTGATGATTGTAAATGTAAAAATACTTGTTAAATGTCTATCTTATTATTTTAAAATAAAGATAAATATGTTTTTTTGTACAAAAAATTATATGCTCATTAATAACAGTGATGTATTATTTATTGGTAAAATTTATCATTATTTATTATTATAATAAATAACTTATTATTATAATAAATAAGTAGTTTGCATGTATTTTGTTTTACATTTTGACCATATCAATAGTTTTACACTAACACTATACTAATAGTTTTTGTTTAGTTTTAAATACAGTTTTAAATACAGTGTGTAAAGATTGTATGACTTAATTAGTTGTACTTGAAAACAACAATTGTGGTGTTGAATGTCGAACTATTGTTCATCTTAAAGTGTTGTGGAAAAACAATCGAATAGTATGTAATTTACAGTTTGAAGAAAAAGTTGAAGCTATTCGTTTACTCACAATATATGCAGAAGAAACTCAAAGCCAATATAATGAATGTTTTGCAGAGGTACAGTAAACTCTTTTCTTTCATTAATATATTAAAAATGTTATTTATTGTTACAAAATTAAAAATTATTAATAATGCATTTTAATGTTCCCTTTAAATAGGCAGCCAAACAAGACAAATTGCTAGAACTACAACGAGATGCAATTCACAGTCTTCAGCAAAAAATTAGTAATATAGAATATAATAATAGCGTAGCTATTATTGTCATCCATACCATGTATTATTCAATTTTAAAAGCAATACAGGTAGAAGAATTTGAAATATGATAAATAATGATAATATTGACATATTCGTTTTAACAATAAAAAGAAAATGTGTTCCTTGTTATTACAGTTTTT